CCCTCTTCCTCCCTGGCCTGCAAGCTCCCCCCAGCCGAGGCAAAGCTAGCTGAGGAATTCTGGGAGTTGAAGTCCACAAGTCTTAAAGTGGCCAAGGTTGGAGACCCCTGTTCCAGGCCAAGCCCATTGGCTGATGTCAAACTACGTCCAGATGGAGGTGTCAAGGCCATGAATGGGATGGCAAAGTTTACGGTATCCACACATGGACTTGAAGGCATTAGTTGAACTTCTTAGGGTTAAGTAACTGTCCTAGGGCAGGGGATTCTTTTGGACAGTTGGCCTTGTATTAAATCCCGCTTTTCACTCCAGGATTCATAGATGAACACCTCCCTCTAGTACAGCTAGTCCTCCAATTACAAGAGTTCATTTAGTGACCCTTCAAAGTTACAATGGCACTGAAAATGTGACTTAGGACCGTTTTTCACACTTACAGCCATTGCAGCCTCCCCCCATGGCCACATGATCAACATCCGGATGCTTGGCAACTGACTCATACTTACGACAGCGGCCGCATCCTTGAATCGCGTGTTCCCCTGTTGCGACCTTCTGGCCAGCAAAAGTCAATGGGGAAATTGACAGATTCACTTAACCACTGTGTGACTCCCTTAACAACTGCAGGGATTCACCTGACAAAAATCCACTTAGTTAACAACCAGGGGAATTCACAGCGACATAAATTTCTGGGTTCGGCTATGGTGGTAACTGGAGGACTCTCCGCGTATCAGGAGAAGGTCTCCATCCCCCTGAGGTCCTGTCTGTTTCCCCAGGGCTGGCTTTGCAGCACCATCACGCCCAGCTCCTCCACCGGCACTTCTCGGCCTGGCAACTGGCGCAGAGACACAAGGAGCAGTCGGAGCACCTCGCCCAGCAGGCAGCCGGCACAGCCTTGCGAAGGGCTTTTGCCCGGTGGGAACTCTGTATCCGCTTCCTGGGCTCTCCTGCTCTTGGGGGTGAATTGAACTGAATTGGAATTCTTTATTGCCATTGTGCGTACGGTATATGCACAGTATACATATTCGCAACAGGGTCACAACGCCCCAGCTTTGTGTCCGTCAGCTTACGTTTGAAAAGCCTTGACGGCTCGCGGAAAAAAAATCAATCCTTTGGTTGGGTAGAAGAAAGCGAGATTCACCTGTGTCATTTAGAAGAAAATGGAAATTTATCTTAGGGGCTAACCTTAATCCTTGTGGTCAGATGGGCAGCCAATAAGTTTAATAGACAATAAGGTAGGAATGTACACGAAGGAAAGCTGTATGCAAAGACCGGCATAAAAGCCCACCTGGCTTGGCTCCAGGAAGACTCCGTAGAATCTGCTTGTGCAGGAGGCGCGTTGAAAAGAGGCCCTTTCCCCCAGGTAAATCATGGCACCTCCCCTGGTTAGCCTTTCAGGGTGATTGAAAGGCACCTGGAGCTGTTGGTGGGATGGAGTGGGTGGCCTCCTGAGGCAAATGGCATGATCTTAACCGGTGCTGCTTTTATTGTTGGTGCCAATCGCCTGGAGTCCCGTGTAATAAACCCCTTAGAACAGGGGCCCCCAGTCCACAGCCTGTTGGGAACCGGGCTGCGCAAGTGGCGGGTGAGCATGCAAGGCTGCATTTGCGCACGCCCAGGGTCTAGGCTGCACGCGTGGAAACCATCCCCCCTGCCACTAGCCTGTGGAGCCAGAAAAGCTGACCCTGCATTGGGAGTCCCAGGATAGATAGAGGCGACAGAAGGGCCACTGTCTCCTAACTCAGACAGCGACCGAGGCGTCCATCCCGTTTGGACGATGAGGATAAGTTGAAAGAGTGCTTGAGCCACACCAATTCATCTTCATCTTGCATTCCTCCTTTGAGAGATAAAACAGCTGCAGGCTAGTCCAGGCCGTTGCGTTTCTTTCTTTTTTAATATTTAAAAATCTTTATTAAATTCTACAATTTAAAAACAATTTAAAAACATATTTCCATTCATTGCAGCATATTTGTAATAGTGTTCACTCAATTTGACATATTCTTAAGTATATAGAATATTACTAAATATTATTACAATTATTTTACATTTGATTTATGTCATATTTTCATACATTTACGTAGTTATTTACATATTTATACATAAGTATACATAGTTAAGACTATTCATGCCAAATTATTTCATCACACCATCACACCTTTCATCTCTCTATTGTGTCTACCTTGCAGCCAATTATACCATAAATTTCGTACTACTCTGTCTCTTCTCTCTCCTTCATTTCCATTGAAAGCCTATCCATTTCTGCACACTCTAAAACCTGTTTTATTATCATAATATCAGAGGGAATGCTGTCACTTTTGAATTCTGGGCAAAGGCTATTCTTGTTGCAGTTATAATATGTAATATAATATACTGGAGTTTCTTACTTATTTTATCTCTTAATATACCCAATAGGAATGTCTCTGGTCTCAATTCAATTTTCTGTTTTGTAATTTCCTCCAGCCATTTCCTAATTTTAAACCAATAATTTTTAGCTTGAGGGCATGTCCATCAAATATGGAAATAGGCAGGGGTGGGATTCTACAGGTTCACACCTATTCGCTAGAACCGGTTGTTACCATTTTAAGCAGTTCGGAGAACCGGTTATTAGAAGAAATTACTGGGCTAATCCTGTAAGGAAGGCAGGAAGGAAACATTCTGGTGTTGCTTACAGAAACTGTTTCTCCGTTAACCCTTATTACATTCTTGGCAGGACTAGACTTCCTGTCTCTGGAACTTCTCTGGAGTTTTCTTTCCCCTCCTTTGCTTGTACTTTGCTTGTGTGGAGTGACCATTCAAAGGTACAATGGCACTGAAAAAAGTGACTTATGACCATTTTTCACGCTTACGACTGTTGCAGCACCCCCACAGTCATGAGAGGCCAGGTGAGGAGATGCATGCCTTGATGTGAGTGATATTGAGCTGGCCACACCCAGCCAATAACATGACCACCAAGCCACGTCCACCCGGTCACATGACCAGCCACGCCCACCAACTAAGCCATGCCCACAAAACCGGTTGTTAAAAAATTTGAATCCCACCCCTGGAAATAGGTTCTCTGTTTATAATTACATGTCCAACAATCTGCTGATCTATTAGGGAACATCCTAGCCAATCTTGCTGGGAGTAAATGCCAATGGTAAAACATTTTGTACAAATTCTTTTTGTATGCTGCTGATAGAGTTATATAGTTTATTTCCCATAGTTTTTCCCAATCTTCCAAATTAATGCTGTAACCAAAAATTTTTCCAGTCTGTTGCATTCCTTAACCCAGCCGTCAGATGTGGTGTTGTGTGCCGAAGAGGCAGAGCGTTACCGGCTGGCTCAAAGCCACCATAACCGTCGCCTGCTGGTGAGAGCTTTGGGGTTTCTCAAAGAAAAGGCCTGAGGCTTCGGCCTCTTGCAGGCGGCTGGCAGAGGTGCTTTGCGTGCTGCACCCTGACACCTGCCCAGGCAGCCGAAGGCCCAGACAAGAAAGGCTGCTCCAGAGGCTGTTCTCTGCGTCTGGAACGGAGGCCAGCTGCTCTCTCCCTTCCCACAGAGTTGGGGGTTTCGTGCCTTGTGGAGGAACGTTCGGGAGGCTTCCCTCAAGCAAGTGAGAAGAAACCTGGCTTGTCAGCAGCACCGGATCGTGGTGAGCTGCCTTCTTCCCCTGCTGCATCTACGCAACCCTCACCCCGAGAAAGGTGTTTTCTTTAAATTTTTCTGCCATGTAGGACACATGGGGGAAGGGACAAATTAACAGACCGCAACTGAGCTTTTTAAGGGGTTATTATTCATTTTTTAATGCATCTGTACAAATTTAAAACCTGAGTAATGTAAACAATAGTTGTTAAATTATTAGCGATGATGACAAAGAAATTAAAATGGTAGATAGCTTTGCGTTCATGGGGCTCGAAGGTAGCTGAAGAGGGTGTGCGCAGGAAAAGTGAAAAGGACATACTGAAAGATTAGACTGTTTTTTTAAAAAAATGAGATTATGTAAAATGGTGAAAGCTGGGTAGTAAAAAAAAGGGAAAGAAGACAGAACGTTGGCATTATGAATCTGGATGTAGTTATTAAGGGCACCAGGAGATGCCAGAAGAAGCAGTTAACAGTCATGAACCAAATCTAGACGGATTGCTTCCCTGAGAGCAGAGACCAGCAAACACACAACTTGGGCTCAGATCCTAAGCAGATCCTGCTCTAGGAAAAAGGGGATCCTTGCCAGCATGGAGGAGAGCAGGCAGAGGGGAAGAGGGGAGGCAAGGCAGATGGATAGATGCGACCAGAGAGCCCTTAGAGCAGGGGTCCCCAACCTTGGACTTCCACAAGTTGGCAAGGTTGGAGACCACGATATGATTGAGCCCAACTTGATAATTAAGGGATTTTTTTCAAGAATTGGAGTCCTTGTCTGTGATTGGGAAGGGCCCCGGAGGTGATGAGGAAAAACCTTTTGTTCATTATATGGAAGGTAGAGCTGGGTGACAGGTAAGTGTGATCCGCTCTTCCCTGGGACCCAAATTCCGTCATAGGTGGCAACTGCTGTTGTTTGGTGATGAGCAAGCAGAAGCTTCTCTCTCTCTCTCCCTGAATTTTGTGAATGGAGTTGCTCTTTATTTGCCGCCGCTTCTCTTCTCCCCCAGCTCACAACCAGGTTCTGGGCTTGCTGGAGATCTCACCTGGAGCAGAAAGAGGACGAGCAGCACCGCCCGCTGACTCTGGCAGCCGTTTCTCACCACAGGTGCTGTTGAGGGGCTTGTGACTCTCTCTCTCTTTCTCTCTCGGGCCAGCGAGGGTCCAGTTTATGAAGCGTGGGGAGCAGGGTGGGCCGGGGCTGGGCTGGGTTTCCCCCTAGCTTGCCTATAGAATAACAGAGGTCCTTGTGAAAATCCTGCGCAGCATCAGAGAAGGGGAGGCAGGGCCGGACACTCCTTGTGACCGACTTGTGCCGATCTTTTCTCCACAGTGAGGGCCCACCCCCGACGTCCTTTCATGTTCAGAGTATTGCAGCGTAAATTCAGCACCGGAAAAGTAAACACAGATGACTGAGGGTTCATTTCACTTCTTTATAAATGTATAAAGTAAATTTTACAATACCAGTTGTAGATTTGTCCAACATGGAGCAAACTCGAACAGAAGCAGACAAGTTACAGGTTCAGAGCAGAACAGCAACTCAACTTCAGCAGAAACAGGCCTCAGTTTCACTTTAGTTCAGCAGGCAAGCAAGACGCACAGCAGAGGAGAGAAGCCGTTTCATCTTCAATAGACAGACTCCGAGCTCAACATAGCTGCAGAGTTGCAGAGCTCAACATAGAGCCATGCCTAAGCTACTTCTAGTTTCAGTTTCCAAGCAGTCCTCATTGGCTGGCTTAGTTGCTATACCTATTCATTGGCTGACCTTGTTCCCATGCTCTGTTCCAGCTCACGAATAGACTCTGACATTTCATACTTGTGCAACGGGGCACGATGGGCTAGAGCCGGGGTCTCCAACCTTGGCCACTTGAAGCCTGGAGGACTTCGACTCCCAGAATTCCCCAGCCAGCTTTGTTTGGGGATGAGCAAGCAGAAGCCCCTCTCTCTCTCCTTGAATTTTGTGAATGGAGTTGCTCTTTATTTGCCGCCGCTTCTCTTCTCTTCTCCCCTCCAGCTCACAACCAGGTTCTGGGCTTGCTGGAGATCTCGCCTGGAGCAGAGCCAGCCCTAGATTGAATGCTTGCAGGCACCGCTTTTGTCAGCAGCTCCAACTGGTGAATTTTGAAGCACTAAGCAAAAAAAAAAAAGCAAGAAAGGCCCTCCTCATAAGCCCAAAGACGTACCATTGGCCCGGCCCTGCAAGTTGGGATTTTGTTCATCCTCTGCTTCAGAGGTCTCCAACCTTGGCAACTTTAAGACTTGTGGACTTCAACTCCCAGAAGAGCTGGCTGGAGAATTCTGGGAGTTGAAGTCCACAAGTCTTAAAGTTGCCAAGATTGGAGACCTCTGCTCTGCTTCACTGTGCCATTCAGTTTGTCCCCGGGGAAAGCTTCTCCCTGGCCCTGAGCATCCAGAACTGGCTACGGAGTGCTAGCTAGCTAACCCCCTGCTGAAGCGCCCACTTTGCCTTCCAGCCGGGGGCTGCTGCAGACGTCTCTGCGGACCTGGAGACAGCGAGCCTGCGGGGAAAGACAACAGAAGGTGAGCCAACATCAAAAGGAAGCCCTGAGTGCCAGTCCCCACGTGGGAACAGAGGGACCTCACCCCCCCCCCCCCCCCTGCTCCTCCCACCAGGGCCCGAGCCTGACTGCTCCCTTCCTCCCTAGCCTTTATTTTGGCCCTTCACTCTCAAAGGCTCACAGAAGAAGGTTTGTTAACAAAGAACAGATAATCAGACTTGGAAGGGACCTTGTAGGTCATCTAGTCCAATCCCCTGCCCAAGCAGGAGACCCTACACCATTTCTGACAGATGCCAGTCCAATCTCTTCTTGTAAGCCTCCAGGGATGACGCTCCCACAACTTCCGAAGGCAACTTCTGTTCCACTGGTTGATTGTTCTCAGGGTCAGAAAATTTGTCCTTATTTCCAGGTTGAATCTCTCCTTGTTCAGTTTCCATCCATTCTTCCTTGTTTGGCCTTCGGGTGCCTTGGAAAATAGCTTGACCCCCTTCCTCCTCTCTGTGGCAGCCCCTCAAATATTGGAAGATGCTCTCCTCTCTCCCCTGGTCCTTCTCTTCCCTAGACTGGCCAGGCCCAGTTCCTGCAATTGTTCTTCATATGTTTTAGTCTCTAGTCCCCTAATCATCCTGGTTGCTCTTCTCTGCACTTTTTCTAGAGTCTCAACATCCTTTTTTATAGTGTTTGTAGAGTACTAAAAGCCAGAGGGCCTCCATCCTCAGACTTTAAAAGGTGCCCTACGGGAGAAATGGGCTGAGGGAGGGGAGCTGGAAGCAAGGCCACTGGCTCCCCTTCTTCCCCTTTTCTGGTTGGCCCCAAGAGTTGCTCTGAGGACTTTGGGTGTCCGTGTAAGGGTGGGGTGCTTCTGCTTCTGCCTGTGAGCTGCCTCCTCAAGCAGCAAGGCCTGGGAGGGAGGGAGGGCGAAGAGGGAGACCTGTCAGCCCCAGGTTGCCCTGTGCTTCCTGCATTTGGGGGGGGGGTTAGGCAAGGAGCCCCCCCCTTCCCAAGTGCCACGAGTGGCTGATCCAGTCCACCGAGGATGTGGAGGGACAGTCCTTCCGCAGCTTAGATTGGAAGATCAGCTTGTCAGAAGTTCAGAAAATGCACACACACACACACAAATCCCTAAACAAAGGAGAAACAGTTCATTACAAAGAGTAATTATTTAAATTTAAATTTATTATTAAATAAATAAATGTAAATATTTTTCAAAACGTAGCCCAGGGTTGCATGAGGCCTGAAAATCTCAGAGAATGCTATTCCACGGCCTCCAAAATGAGCAATGAAGTATGTCCAGTTCTCACATGCTTTTGGGAGGCTCCAGAGGTTGCCTGAGAGCAGAGCCCTCTTGCGCGACTTCCAGAGGTTTCCAGACGCCTAACATGCCTCCAAAGACGGCATGATGTGCAACCAGGGACGCAAGTTTCTTAGGTTCACCATCACTGTGCTAGGTCGTAGATCAAGGGCTCCTAAGGCAGCTGTTTCCAAGCAAGGACTTGCTAAGAGCCTTAGAAGGGTCAAAGTTTAAGCTCTGAGAAAGTGTTCTGGGTTGGCGTCTCCCACTGGAGTGACATGGTTTGGTCGGCTGTTGCTTCCTGCCAGGAGACTGGTGGACGATCAGAAATCCCCATTAAGAGTCTCCTTTTGTCTTCAGCTACAGTGTGCCAAAGCCGACCAGCATCGCGAGGCCGTGGTCCTGTCTGCTGCCTTTCAGGCCTGGGAGCTGTTCAAGGATCACCAGCTCTGGTGGAGTGAGATGAACGGGGTGGCCGCCGGCTATCACAGGTGGGTGGGCTGGCTGCAGCCTCTGTTTCTTTCTTGCCTGATGTGGATCTTGGCGTCGTCTTCTCTTGAGAGGCTCCAGGAGCAAAGCTAGGGGTCAGGATTCCGGCATTTACCCCCATTTAATTCATGAATCTCGAGCCAAACTTCCAAAACTTCAAAAGGATTTATTGGGAGTTAACATGTCCAGCGCTGCCTGGGTGCAGCCGTCTCTGAGGCACATTGTTCATTGTCACCCTTGACCCTGGTTTTCCCCCACCCCTCTGGGTGTATCATAATTCATATTCTCCAATGGGACACCTCCAGAGTCCAGAGTCATTAATCATGCTCTCCAGTTAGGATTTTGCCCGGCAGAAACTTCAGTCATCTAGTTACTATCTTTGAAAACATTTATGGAATGCGTTTTCGGTTGCAAGATGCTGCACTGCTCTTTCAAACTCCTTTCCCCCCTCCCTTTCTGTTGGCAACTCTAAAAAGACCGTAGAAATATTTTATGAGTTGACACTAAGAAAGGTTTGTAGCTCAGCCATGAATATCAGGGATGCTGAATCAAAGAAGCTGGTGGGAGGGTCCATCCTTGAACTGTGGCGTCCCAAGAGCTAGAAAGGGCCTCACAGGCTGCAAAATCCCTCCTACAAGTCCATGTAGGATCCGCTGCCGCTTTTGGGACTGATTCAATGCAGCCTCGGTTTGAACACCTTTCATGGAAGGGAATACAGCATTTCATGAGGCAGCTTCTTCCTCCGTTGCCTCTTTTAGCAGCCCATCTAACCCGGATCGGTTTCCTTGTAGTTTCGTTGGTCTGTTGGTTCTGGCCTTAGACCTCTGAAGAGGGCCATCGTAGCTCTCCGCAGCCTTCTGTGCTGCACGCTAAATATACCCCCTTCCTTCATCCAGTCCTGGCCAGATTTGGTTTCCAGGGCCTTCCCTGCATTGATAGCCGTCCTCTGAGCGCACTGCAGTTGGCCAACGTCCTGCTTGGATGGTGGGGCCAGGATTGGGCACAGGGTTCTTGGGGGGGAGGGGGGGAGGCTGAGCAAGTCAGAGGAGGGGAGAGGGACAGTTGCTTCCCATGCCCTGCAGCCTGTGTGCCTCTTCGCCCAGACCCCATTTTCCTTATTAGTCCCTGTGTGAGACTGTTGCAGTCTACTAAAACTTCCTAATCTTTTCTGACTCTGGAGCTGCCAAGCCAAGATCCTAGAGTTCTGCCTGGCATTTTTTTGCGCCCCTGATGTTGGACTCTATTCCTCATATTAGTTTGTCCTGCCCACTTCAGTCCACAATTCAAGGTTGTCTTGGCTCATTTCTTTTTTTCTTTTTTTTTTTTGAAAATTTTATTTGGGTTTTCACAAAAACAAAATACAAATAAAACATCTTTTTTTGAAAATAGCATGGTCCCAGGTTATCACTTCTTCATACAGACACAAAACTCAATTTCATGCTCATTTTTATATTCTATTCCATATCTTATTCCCGTTTTATATTTTCTACATAGCTTTTCCCCTCTTTTAATTTTCTCAACTTTATTTTAATTATCTCATCTCAGTTCAAATCATTATATTTATAGTTTTGTCTGTCCTGTTTCAATTTCATATTATCTTTTTTTATTAAACAAATTTTTCCCCGTAGTTACCAATTGGAGTTTGACACCTTTATATCTTTTAATTTTATCCATTCAAACTCTTATTTAAGCTTCAATGTATACCTTTAAGATTATAGCATTCAATATAATACATAACTTCCAATCGAATTCTGCTTCATACATTCTTGAAATACACACTATATTCTTAAAAAGAAATATATATATATATATGTAAATAAAACACACATTCCATTCCAATTCAATTCAATCATTAATATTCATTAAAATGTTAACATCTTTAACATTTCTTTTCAATTAAATATACTTCCTTGGGAACACTTATAAATTTTCTATAGTTACCGTATATACTCGAGTATAAGCCGAGTTTTTCAGCCCATTTTTTGTGCTGAAAAAATCCCCCTCGGCTTATACTCGAGTCAGATT